ATATGTAGACCTGATAATTTGTAAGTGATATGCTAAACCCAGAAAATACAGTTACGTTTCTTTTCTGGACTATAATTGAGAGCAAAGCAAATAAGCTTCCTTCAATGGAGATGACCGAAGGGGGGATGGGGAAATGGCCATTTGGAGAGTGTAACTTGTGCCCTGGGAACCTGTCTGTCTTGTCAGCTGTGATCACAGCTCTGAGATCGCTGGCTGTCTCTGATGGGAACACTTTCAACAAAGACCCAGACAGCTTTTCTCAGTTGTGGCTGAAAAGATGGTTTCTGGTTGGTTGGTTTGTTTGTTTGTTTTCTTCTTTCTAGTTCATACCTTTGTCACCTTGAGACTGGCCTCTGATAATATTTTATCTTGGAAGGCTTTTTGCATTTATTAAAAATTATCATTTTTGCCATTGAGTATTTTTGCTGACAGTATCTTAGTCAGGTGAAATCACCCATTTAAATCTCAAACAGCCATATGTGGCTTGGGACTTGCCTAACTGGCATCTCTGACCAGCTAGTCCTGCCCTTCTGCCTCATGTTTGAAAGAAGTGCAAATCCTGATTTCTAGCTCTCTCAAGGAGCATTGGAAACATTCCTTGATGTGAAATAAGGGAAACAGATGGTAAGGAAGCATGAGAGATGTCTTCAGAGCTGAGGTTCCCTGTTCAGAATACACCTTCCGTGTGCTGCAGCAAACTGGAATAGATTGCACATCACTGGTGGCACACTCAGTATTGGATAGAGTTCCTTTTGCTATAGGCATGCTTGTGATTGCATGGTTGACTATGTTCACACTACTAAATGGTAAAATTTTATTATTCATTTGTAATACAGGGAAAGATTGATATAATAAACTTTGTAGGTCTCCCTTTCCCCAAAGCCTTCCCTAATTTACTGCCCCTGCTTTTAAAAAAATCTTGAAGACGTTAGGAACAAGACGAAAGAAGGATGTCTTGGCTGACACATTCATTGCTTCGTTAAAAGAAGAAAGGGTGGGGGGAGGTAGCATTATAATCTTTGGAAAGTGTTGACTTACTGTGAAATGTTGTATCCTAGAAACAATGTGGAGACTTTAGAAGTTTCATTAGTTAAGCATATTGTTGGTTTTCTCGTAGACGTGGCTTGGATTTCTGAGGTGAACAAACTGTCTAGGTCTGTCTTCTGCTTTTCCTAGAACATGTTTTATTTAGGATTCTGGAAAAGGAGAGCAGTTGTGTGATGCAGAACTCTAACCATGCAGCTCTGTTATAGGCCATTCATTTGTGATAAACACTTCATGTGGCCACTGTTTTCTTCACTTCCCATATGGGTCCTCTTCAGTCCACCCAGATTTTTGTACAAAGGATATTAATTCCTGACACTTCAGTCATGTACCTTCCCGCCACGTTCCCATCCCTCCTTCCCAGTCCTTTTCTGTGGCTTCCTTTTATCTTCTGGTTCTCATCATCTCTATGAGGACTGCTATGATATTGTGAACCTTGACATTTATCTGTTTTCCTAGTTTTTTTGATACATGCAACTGTGTCCTTTCTCACACATGCTTCATGTTTTCTGCCTATCATTCCATGTTGCACACAGGTCCAGTCACCTGTAGTTGCTTAACAAAAATATACATGCTAATACAAAGCTAAAAAGTGCTTACATTGCTGGAGTTATTTGCTAGAAAGCCTTCAAACAAGTTGCAGAAGACAGAGCATGTTACTGCAGAATGTGCTGAAATAACCTAAACCTTTAAAAAATTTTAAGGACTAATGAACTTGTCAAATTTTGTATGGCACATGACTAGTACTCCATAAAAGCAGACACCTCTGCAACAAAAGGAGAGTAGTAATGAGGGAGAAATGTAGATAAACTTTGCCCTAATTATCTTTACATCTTTATCTAGTGTTTCAGTGCTCTCTCCCTTTCCTTCCTGAATCAAACTTTTGAATTGTGTACATTAGTTCTGTTGTTTCATGTCTTTCCAGCAAGAAATATTCTGATAACAGTTTTTTTGCTAATGATTTGTTAGCAAGATTAGACATCTGTTAAAAATGTTAAGAGGCCAGAGGCCAAACACATTATTTTCTTTGAAAACTGCAATGAATGTTTGCCAGTATATGTAAAAACTTCTCGTTCAACCTTCTATCATTTTTAGAGCAACCTTCAATCATTTTAGAATATTTGATTTAGTATTACAATTCAGGGTTATAATCCTTTGCAGAGTAATATATGGAGGGCAAACTTGCAGAGCTCAAAGTTAGGAAAACAATCTTTTTGCTGGTAAACTGACAAAATTTATTTTTAAAGACAAACAGAATTCCTCATGCAATCTTACCATCCCTTTCAGACAAGCCTTATTTTACATGAAATCCTAAGGCATCAAAGCTGGATAGAGCTGGACTAAATTTGTTCTGTTGTTTTAATTTTTGTGGTTAAGGGTCAAATAATGTTTGAGTTCTGGTTATCCGTATGTTGCTATTTTTCTTTTTATATGGGACAGTTGAAAAAAGGTGAGAACTGGTCAAAGTATAGGTACTTCATTGAAAAGGCTCTATAATGGATGACAGTTTTAAGGTGAGCTGATAAATTCCTGAAAGATACAGTTTAGATTTGATTAATGGATTCATAAATTCATGCTAAATAAAATCAGCATCTTTGACCATAGATAAATTACAAAACTTCTGAAACATTGTGATTTACTCTCTCTGTCTCTCTATATATATGTTTCCATTTTTTACTAGTAAACTATAAAAGAAAAGGGATTGGTTATACCCCAAATCTTTTTCTTTATTTTAATTTGTATTCAAAACAAAAGGAAGGAATTTCAGATTGATTGAGTATGAAAGAAAAAGAAAACCCACCCTTGCACTGTTAGGCAGCAAAATTAAAAAACTGTTATTTTAATACATGTATGTCAGTGTGACATTGGCAAGGAGGAATGGGAGTGTTAAGTAGATAAGTGTTGTGCAGCCCAAATGAAGTTTTTCCAATTTATTTGAAATAGCTAAATACCATATTGTAATCTTTCTGTCATTTTTTAAGGTGTGATTATTAACCATTTATGATGTTTTTGCAAGTGTTCATGGTATTTCTTAGACAGAAAATACATCATTTTAATTGCTTGTTAGTGTTTAACAAATATTACAGAAAATTTATTTTCTGATAGCCAATTCACAGTTTATCCTTTATACGTTACCACATACTTGGAAAATTTTATGTAATTGGATGCATAAAATATGTTTCTTAGTATTTATAAACACCCCTACCAAAGACATACAGTTGTAAACTGCAATCTGTTCATAGAGTTTCTCCAGGATATGCACAATTTGCTAGAACTGACAGTAATTTCAAAACAAGTACTATGGCTAAATGTAGCCTTTTACATTCTATCTCCAAATGCTGTAAGAAGCATTTACGTGGTGTTTGGAAGTCCTCCTTTGTTTGTTGAAGAGTCATTTGTGGAGGGAATGACATAAGTGACTCCTCTTAGAACACCAAAGTAAGCTTGCAATCGTTATTAATGTCATCGCACAAAGATTCTCTAGCGTTTGGACCAAACTTAGAATAAATATTTGAAAGGGTAAATAACATTAGTTACTTTACTAGCTTGGGTGTCTTGCATGCAAAGCAGCCCATAAAAAGAGCCTTAGTAAGGTGCATAGTCAAAAATTAGAAGATACAGTAACCGAGTATTCCTGTGCAAGCTTAATTTAGTCTGTGTGTCTGCCTTTTGTGATCACATCCTCCTTTTTTGTTCTGTAGAACTGTCTCTCCCTTAATGTATAGATTGGATAATAATCATTAAGCAGCTGCTGTCTTGTCCGCTTACTGTTCAGGGTGCGAGTCTGGATCTGACTTACTGCATGCTGTTCAAACCATCCTCTGAAAATATATGCTTCTGCGCATATTTTTCTGTTTTGCTTATTGCTGTGGTAAATAAAGGACTTTAAGGTCACTAATTTGGTCTTTTCCCCTCCGTATGAGGAAGGGAATGTTTTAATTCTCGTCTTTCAGATGGGCAGCTGAGATACAGTTGCACAAGCAACCTTTAATTCTTGAATGCTTTGTTTTACAGCTATATGAATTAGCTTTATGTTAGGAAAAGAGGGCAAATGAGAAATGTCATTTCCTAGGTGTTAATAAAGGAGCCTACCTGTCTCAAAATCTTTTATCTCTGTTTCTGTCTTTTTCCTTTTCTTCCATTTTCCCTTCATGTGCGGAAAAGACATCTTGGTATCTCAGCTGAGACCATTGTTTTTGATTGGGAAGTAGGAAAACTTGATTTTACAAAAGTGTTAAAATGTAATTGAAGTTCCTCCCTTTTTAATAGAATTTTTAGGGGGTTTACTAAGTAGTGACTTAATAAGAATTCAGCTCTATACAAGAGCAAAATGTTAAATTGAAAGTAATTTCTGCCGTTCTCTAGGATTATCAGCAAAATAGAAATAATTAAAAATAAACATATGGCATTCCCAAACTTGAATTTTATGGCAGCTTAATGGAACACAAACCTCAGAATATCTTAGCTTTGTTCTGGTATACAAGCCATTAATTTTGGCAGAGATTAAATTTGGCAAAAGTATATTCTTCCAATCTTTCTTCAAGACCTTCCCAAATTATGTATTTTTGTATATTTTTTTTAACTGTAATCCTGATTAGGGGAGTGTTGAGAACTGTCTTAAAATTTATTTTTATCCTAACGAGGCATAACTACCTTTATTCAGTGCTAGTGGGAGTTTTCCGAGAGCACTGATGCTGTGTAAATGTGGGCTGTATAATTAAACCTATGAAAAAGTCAGATTTTGCATTCAAGCTCTTATTAAGAAAGCCTGTTCTGAAACACACATGAAGGCTTTAAAAGGCTGCAGAAATACTTAGCTTCTGTAGCCGCTAAAAATGCAAGATTTTCTGTTTAAGTTTAGGAATAGCAGCAGAGTACACAAAATGCTATAAAGAAATGTTTGTCCTGTCTTGAAATAAGCAAATTTTCTAATGTTTTACTTGTTTGACAAACAGGTACACACAAAGTTCCATTGCAGGCAAGCCCATGCTCCAGGCACCGACACGTCATGCTTGACATTTTCCTATGATGGCACTGTCCTTGCCAGCCGTGGAGGTAGGTGTTTGAAAGAACCCTGTGATGTGTTGAAAGTAAGACAATTTTAACTTTATTAAGTGAAATGGTTTGGTAAACAAACCATTTAAATTGAATGACAGCTTTTATGATGGAGATAAGATAGTGAAACCAGAAACTAGTGATTTAAACCTGAAGTGTTTCACAATTTACATCTTTTATTTTGATACACCATACAATACTGTGTTCCTGAAAGTGCATTTTATGACAGTTAAGGAATATTTTAAGAGAACTTTTCTGTTTATATTGCACAGTTCCTGATCTGTCTAGCATTAATAATACACCAAAAAGAAATTACTAGCTTAATTAAAAATAAAATGAGACCAGTCTCATTACTTACTTCTTTCCAGGAAGATTACTGACTCTCAATAACAGTATCTCTATTCTGGCATTATTAATTCCTCAAGCAGCTTTCTTACGCAATGTCCTTTTCTGTTCTAATTGGAATTGTTCTAATTGGAATTTTTATCTAGTCTATATTACAAACATCAAGAGGTCATGTCTGGCCAAGACATGCTTGAATGGCAAAAAAAGTTTTTTAAACTTCAGATAGAACTTTCATAAAAAAATCTTAGATAAAGAACAAGTCTTGGGAAGAGAAAGATACATTTGAAGACTCGTTCACGCCAGTATTAGATGTATTGGGTAGAATGGTGTCTGCCCAAGACAGCTTTTCATACAGAGACTTGTCTACCCAGTATTTTGCAGACAGGTGCAGGCATATAATCTGAGCTGTCTGGATGGAAACCAGCTGTAACCAGAAGCTATGTGTGTGCATTAGCATGGCCCCAAGGCCAAATAAACAGGCCCAGGGAGAGGCAGTATATGTTCACATCGGCTAACATTGTGCCTAACATATGCACGGGACATCTGGCCAGTTTGCTACGAAGACAGAAGGAGATTACATACACAAAATACCAGGATAGAGGTTTTCATAGATGGCAAAAGCTCTGAAGCAGGGGCTGTAGCTTGCAGTTGCTTTGTGTCCTCCCCGTGTAGAGCAGCATTGCTGGCTTTTACAGCAGTATGCAGCTCCTTTTGGGTGCTAACTCTCTGACTTCTTTGTATGCTTTGCCACATTTCTAAGAGTCCGAAAGTTATGTTCCCCAGATCACATGTTTGAGAATAAGATGATGGTGGTCTTGTCCTTGACAGCTTACTAGGGCACACTGATGTCACTTGGGTTGTTTATTACAGTGCTGTTCAGGCTCCTGGATCCAGAGTTCTGTACCCATTGTTAATCAGTCCTAAGTGGTTGATTAAAACTCTTAACCTTGCTATTCCTTACTGAAGCCAACAGCAACTATGTGAGAACCTTCTCCTTCTTGGAGAGTAGGCAAGCCATCTGTCTTTCTGTTGTGGGCTAAGTGAAACGCTGCACCTGTCTGTCAGTGGAGTTGCCCCCAAAAATTAATGCAGACATACTTCTTAAGATTTAAAGAGAAACCTCAGTGTGCTTTTAAATATTAACAGCAAACAATATTAATACATGTATGAGGAATAGTCAGTAGGGCTGTCTTGAAACATCCACTTATATAAATTCTCTTATGTTTCACATTTATGAATGTCAGTCACATAAATGACCTTTGCTTGTTTTTATTGCATGTGGCAATTTTGGTTGCCTGCGCTTCCTCATCTGTCTCCAGATTTAGTGTCACCTTAAACAGACTTTCACTTACTTATGTTTTATCTACCACACTGCTCTAAGCTATATAAATTTTTGATTGATTGTTTGCAGAGTGTAAGACTGTATGGAAATTTGGCCCTTCAGTGTGGATAAAAGTGCTACCTTTGTCTAGTGTATTAAAAAAAAAAAAAAGCTCTGTGCTCTGTGTGCGCTATGCTAAAGAATAAGGATTCATACCTTATTTTGACTTGTTTGGTTAGTGCTTTAATATGAGTGTTGCTTTGAATCTGTGCCAATAAAAGCAGATGTGGATCCAGCATTCATAGATTAACACACCTGCCAAGTCCTGAGGATCAAAGAGAGAATAGTTGTATGGCGAATGGGGACTTTCACTGAAAGCCTGATTGACTCTCCTGCATCTTGTGTAGATTCTGTGTTGGATATGAGGGAGATGGGGCAGGGCTCAGCTGCAAGCACAAGGGAGAATGAAAAGCTAAGGAGCTACTTATGAGAATTCCCAGGCTTACTCTTTTTGGATATTAGGTAGGCAACTTGACAGAAACTTGTATTTTTGCACTCTTGTAACCGTGAAAGTAATTTTTTCTACATGCAGTGAAGACATTATTTGAGGAATGATTTCTTTGTTTAGCAATGAAGAGGTAAGCATTAGGACTGGACTTGGGGTCCTATTATAAAAAATTAAAAAAACCAACCACAGGCAACACTTTTTTGACTCCTGGTATGTACAGAATTTATGAAGTTAGTTTTTGTCATAATATGAAGCAGTGACTTCATTGATTCCATGAATCTCATGATAGCTATTAGTTTCATGGATCGTTTATTTTTTGTGGTATGAACAATGTGCAGATTCAGTGCCATCTTAATCAGTAAATTTAGATAGGAAAAATACTCACCATAGTTAAACCCAAGAATATTCACATCTAAGCCTGTCAGATAGCTTATGAATTCTTGATTTCTTTTGAGCATAAGAAATGGGTTTTTGTGTATTTCTTTTTGATGTTTTGGTTTTGAGTTTGGTGGGTGGGTATTTTTTTGTTTTAGCTGTATTTCTCTTTTCACAATGTTCTTGAGGAAAAATAAAACATTTAATTTTGAAGTTGGTTTAAAAAGCAGGAAAATTTCCTTTTTACTTAAGGATTATGAAGCAGCATGTATAGTGACTTTCTATTTTGTTCAGAGTAATAATATATCACTCTTTAAGGTAAATACAGATACTAGGATTTTAAAAATCAAGTTTTACATCAAGTAATACTTCTCAGGAGGTGAACGCTGATATTCTTTTCAAACAATGCCAAAAATGCTTTCATTTGCTTTAATAGGCATAGTCAAGTGTAACACTTGGAGCTGAAAAGGCTTTCTCAAAATTTTCCAGTATCTTTCACTTCTATATATTTAGACAGAGTGATGGACTTGCATATTTGGCCAGGCTGGTATGAATGCAGGTGATGGTGACAGCTGTTCAAGTGTAATTGCAGAATCACAGAGCCACAGAATGATATGGGTTTAGAAGGGACCTCTGGAGATCATCTAGCGCAACCCCACTGCCAGAGCAGGTCCACCTAGAGCAGGTTGCACAGGAACGTGTCCAGGCAGGTTTTGAATGTCTCCAGAGACAGAGACTCCACCACCTCTCTGGGCAGCCTGTTCCAGTGCTCTGACACCCTCAAAGTAAAGCTCCTCCTCATGTTTAGATGGAAATTCTTATATTCAAGTTTTCACCACTGAAAAATATTCACCACTGAAATAATCCCGGCCCAGTCTTCCTGCCACCCACCCTTTCAGTATTTCATAGAATCATAGAATCGTCTAGGTTGGAAGGGACCTTAAAGATCATCTAGTCCAATTATCAACCTAGCCCTGAGAGGAAAATAAATAAGAAATAAGGAATAAAAAAATCACTAAACCATATTCCTGAGGACCATGTCAACCCGTCTTTTGAACACCTCCAGGGACGGTGCCTCAACCACTTTCCTGGGCAGCCCATTCCAATGCTGGATAACCCTTTCCGTGAAGAAATTTTTCCTAATATCCAGTCTAAACCTCCCCTGGCGCAACTTGAGGCCATTTCCCCTTCTCCTATCTCCCGTGACTTGGGAGATGAGACCGAATCCTGCTTCTCTACACCCCCCTTCAGGTAGTTATAGAGCGCTATAAGGTCTCCCCTCAGCCTCCTCTTCTTCAGACTGAACAACCCCAGCTCCCTCAGCCTCTCCTCATAAGACTTACTCTCCAGACCCATCACCAGCTTTGTTGCCCTTCTCTGGACCCTCTCCAGCACCTCAATGTCTTTTCTGTGGTGAGGGGCCCAAAACTGGACACAGCACTCAAGGTGGGGCCTCACCAGTGTCCAGTATAAGGGGACGATCACCTCTCGGGTCCTACTCACCACAGTGTTCCTGATTTATAAGCATCAATCAGATCTCCCCTCAGCCTTCTCTTCTCCTGACTAAAAAGACCCAAATCCCTCAACCTTTCCTTGTAAGAGAGATGTTCTAGTCCCCTAATCATCTTTGTAGCCCTTTACTGTACCCTCTCCAGCAGTTCCCTGTCTTTCTTGAACTGAGGAGCCCAGAAGTGGACACAGTACTTCAGATGTGGCCTCACCACAGCAGAGCAGAGGGGAAGGATAACTTCTCTCAGCCTCCTGGCCACAGTCTTCTTGATGCTCCCAGGATGCTATTGGCCACCTTGGCCACAAGGGCACATTGCTGGCTCATGATCATCCTATTGTCCACCAAGACTCCCAGGTCCTTTTCCTTAGAGCTGCTCCCCAGCAGGTCAGCCTCCAACTTGTACTGGTGCATGGGGTTGTCTCTCCCTAGGTGCAGCACCCTACACTTGCCATTGTTGAAGTTCATCAGGTTCCTCTCTGGCCACCTTTCCAGCCTGTCTAGGTCTCACTGTATGGCAGCACAGCCTTCTGGTTTTTCAGCCACCCCTCCCAGTTTTGTATCATCAGCAAACTTGCTGAGGGTACATTCCATCCCTTCATCCAGGTCATTGATGAATATATTGAACAGGACTGGACCCAGTACTGATCCCTGGGGAACACCACTTGTTACAGACATCCAACTAGACTCTGAGCCACTAATCATGACCCTCTGAGCTCTGTTTTTCAATCCACCTCGCTGTCCATTCATCTAACCCACATTTCCTAAGCTTACCTATGAGGGTGCTGTGGAAGTTGCTGTCAAAAGCCTTGCTGAAGTCAAGGTGGACAATATCCACTGCTCACCCCTCATCTATCCATCCAGTCATGTCATCGTAGAAGGCTATCAGGTTAGTCAGACGTGATTTCCTCTTGGTGAATCCATGCTGACTACTTCTGATAGCTTTCTTTCCCTCCATATGCTTTGAGATGACACCCAGAACGAGACATTTCATGATCTTTCCAGGGATAGAGGTGAGGCTGACCAGCCTGTAGTTTCCCAGGTCTTCCTTCTTGCCCTTTTTGAAGACTGGAGTGATGCTGGCTTTCCTCCAGTCCTCAAGTACCTCGTCTGTTCTCCAAGAGCTTTCAAAGAGGATGGAGAGCGGCCCAGCAATGACTTCAGTCACTCTCCCAACTTGACTTCCCTCCCAAGCCCTTTGGCATGGAGTGAGCCTGGTCCTGACCTGTAGTGCCTCCAAAGGTTGTTCTTTAGCTGTTGCAGCTCCTGTAGCAGAATCAGAGCAGAATGCAGAGGTGTATTCTTTGTTCTGTAAGATGCCTCTCCTCAGATATATATAATAAGAGCCTTCACAGAAAGGCTCAGAGTTTGTGAACATAATATATTCTAGTGCTGCCTCCCCCTTTAAAATAGGAGCTTCTTAAAGGGTATTGCTGACTTCAGCAACAGTTTGAGTTTCTGGAAGCTCTTTTGCTTCTTTTGGGCCCATTTGCATCCATGTACTTGTCTTCCTGGTCACTGTCTTTTGGAGAGAAAAAAATATCAGATAAAATCTTTACAGTATCAGTGCATTGGCCTTACTCTGTTTAAAAGCTGTTTGGAAAATGCCTATCCTGGCTCACTGAAGACCATTGTCTAGGACCTAATTTTTACTTCTTGTTAAGTCCAATGCATAATACCATTAGCATAATGGTGTCTGACCTGATCGTATCAGACCAGAGCCTGTTTATTGGTATCCTTCGTATTAAAATGGCAAAGAATGGAGTTTGAAATGCTACTAAAAATGCTATAAAATCTTCAAGTAATCCTGCCAGGCTTTGGAGAAGTCTGCCACCAAGAAAAGTAGTGAATGATCTGAGTGGACTATTTTGAATGCTTCATACTTGAACTGCACAACTTCTGTTTCTGTGTTTTTGATTAAGGGTAACTGTTTTTGTCCATGTATAAAATAATTAAAAATAGATCAGTACTGCTACAGCTCTCAGAAAGAAGCCCCTTTTAAGCACCAATAGAGAGATGCTAGTGGAAAAAATCCTTGGTGGTGTGGAAAGTTACCAAGTCTGTTTTCTTAATGAGAGTGATTTCAACTCCAAATGCAGGTTAGTTTTAGGAACCAATATCATATTTGCAACACAGAAAATTTTGATTAGAAGAAGGTAATTTGGACAAATCCTTAATGATGGTAAGAGTTTCACATCATTGTCCCAGTCATTCTACTAGCATTTCTCCCTTTCCAAATACTTATTCATCTATTTCTGCACAGTGTAAAACAGTGTTGATTTGAAATCAGCCACAACTTTTGAGTCCTTTTGGAGTCTTCTGTTTTTTTTAAACCAGCAGATTACATTTTCTTGTTAACAGAAAAGCTATAGCTAAATGTCTGACTGCATCTCTCTTGCTAAAGCCTGGCAGCACTACAGCTTGAAGATCATGTCAAGGCTCATTCCACTGGGAACAGAACAGCCTTGGCTGCTAGCCTTAGATCTGTCCCTATCCAGGAGATTTGCAGAGTGGCCAATTGGTATCCTTTGCATGCAGTTATAAAGTACTTGTGCTTTAGATATAACATCTCACAGATAAGTCGTTTTTTTGTTGGGGGTAGGAGGGAAAAGAGAGGATTCGTATTACAAGACCAAATGCTTTGATGTGGTGGGGATGGAGTCTACTGAGAAACAATAAGAAAACAGATATTCCCAAAATAGGGGCTCAACATTTTTCTTTCTTGTCATTTTTTTTAGCTTCCCAATGAACAGAATTATACTCTGCTCTAGACATCATTTATTTAAGTTGTCCACTTCTTAAAAATATTTTGTAGTAAGGAGTTATCCTAGTCTTTAATATAAACATACATGATGTACGAGGCCACACATTACTGCTTTCCCTGTAAGGGCACTGCTGGCCTTGATTTCTTTTGTTACAGCATGTTACTTTTTTTTTAAACATTTTATTTTCAAGGCCTCATTTAAGCTTTTGATCTCAAAGTCTGTGAATCCACAAAATACTTTTAGACAAGAATATTACTTCCCTGCAAGGATTGTTCTTTGGAAGGAAGCAGGTCTGTGGGTTACCAGTCACTTGCCTCCTCTTCCTTCTAGGATGGGAGGTTTTTTTCACTTTTCATCTAAAATTAATCTCTGGATATTTTTAAAGAGAATTGTTGTTTGAAAGTCCCTCCTTTCACCCTTGAAGGCGCTGATGTTCAGTCTAAGATGTCTCAGTGCCTAAGTGAGGTGCTTCAAAGCTCAAATTCTGTAGCTCCTCTCATGCTGGAAATATGTGTCCCAGAGGGATGATCAGCAGAGATTTAGATAACTAATCTCTCCTTTTTTTTTTTTCCCCCCCTGTTCTCACTTTGTTAATATGTCATAACTTTTCGAAAGGAATAAACAGCCTGACTTTTACAGGCCTACAGTCACACCATGTTTATCAAACACAGACGAGAATTGCTATAAATGTCTTACTGTAACCTCGATTTTGGCTTTTATGGCCAAAGGTGGTGTAGAGGGGTGTGAAAAGGTTTTGTTATAGTAAGTGTGGGTTCACTTACTTCCCTTCTGTTCCTTCCCAAGGTTTTCTGACTGATTCCAGGGCCTGTTTTCCATACTGAGATTGCAGTTTGTTGTTTGCCTATTAGAGAAGGGGGAAGATTTCATGTGCCTTCCATTCTTCTTGATCATTTTTTCAGGGCAAGTAGAAGCTGGACACATAAAACTTTTTTAGTTTTTGATCTAGACCACTGATAGTAACATTTTAATTTCTTTTGAAATCTTAAAACTTTAAATTTACTCCCAGTAGCAAAGCACCAACGCTCACAAATGCAGAATAAATTAGTGTTTGGGGAATGTGATTTCACTGTGAATAATGGTTCTTGGTAGGAGGGATTGCCATGGTGTAGTTGAGCCACTAAGCAGAAGTGTCTGTTCTACTGGTGTGCAGCAGGTGGAACTTGTCATCCTTGCACTTTCATAGTCATTTGGGGACAAAATACTTCCAAATCATCCTCATTTCAAGAGCTTCTACGGTATCGTTCTTTTTGTGTCTGAATTAGAGGATGAAATTTTCTGCACGTCTAAATTCTTGACTTAAATTCTTTATTGCTAACCTTTGTCCCTTTTGTTTCATAGGAGATGATACTTTAAAACTATGGGATATCAGACAATTTAAAAAGCCTCTTAATTCAGCGGAAAGACTGCCCAGCTTCTTTCCAATGTAAGTACTCTAATTTATTGCAGCTAGTAGAAATAGCAGTAGTTGTGCTGAACAGGAGGGAGTCTCTCAGAGTTCTCCTCCTCAGGTCTTACTAGGTTCATAACTGTGCAGGAAGGACTGCACAGGGAGGACTGTGCAATGAGGATTCTTTGCTATTCTAGGACTTCACATTGCTTTAAAAGATCTTGTATTTTTTGTGATAATTCATAGATAGCTTTGCTTGTGTTATGCAATTTTTCGGTCTCATATGTCTTCTGTCTAATTAGATTAGCAATTTTTCAGGAGGAGGCCAGTTCATTGCCTTATGTTTGTGTAATGAGATATATAAGTAACCCTCATTCTTATTTGGTCTATGACTAATAGAAAACGAGCTGGATTGAAAAGTAGACATAACATGAAGGTGCATGGTATGAATTCAGGTTATGATGTTAGAAGTGCTGATGACTCTGTTCTTTAAGACTAAATACTATACTGTACTGCATAGTGCTATGTATTGCATTTAATATTTTTACTGGTATTACCTGCATTTCTACAGCTGGAGTACAGCTAAATCCATCACTAAAGGACAGTTTATACTTTTGAAATAAGATCTTAGAAAGGCAGGTCATGGACAACTGAACCTTGACTGCAATTTGTAGCATAAAGGAAAAGCAAACATACAAACATTTTTGGCCACTGTATAAACACACTGCCTTGCATCATTGAAGACTGTATCATCGCAAAAACATATTTCATGATTGATTTATTTTTTTACTTAAGGATGATAACCAGATTTGAAAATAGTTTTGTTTGTTTGTTTCTCATGTTGAAAAGTTTACAAGACTTTTGAGTGGAGGATAATTTTGTTGGAAGGAGAGGTTTTTATTGGATCTGCCAGTTTTGTACATTCTGTGCACAGCTGTAATTGTACATGTGAACTGTGTCTGATAGTTACAGGTGACAGCTGACAAAAGATTTTTTTAAAGCTTTGTGCTGAAAGAATTAACAAATAGAAAGTTTAATTTTTCAGGAGTGTAATGTATATATAAGTTCCCTATAAGTTAATTATTGATTTGCCCAGTATGATGATTTGTTTTCTTCAACAGGACAGATTGTTGTTTCAGCCCAGATGATAAAATACTTGTCACAGGCACCTCTGTTAAGAAAGGTGGTGGCAGTGGGAAGCTTTTTTTCTTTTATCGGGAGACATTCCAGAAGCTGTATGAGATAGAAGTTACAGATGCGGTATGTATTTTAGGGTTTTTTTGCCAGCTATTCAAAATATGAATGAAATCATATTCATATGTTTTTTCTCCCTTATGTGGGTAATGACCCACTATAACTACTGCAATTTCTCTACTTCATATTTAAGTATCTCATATTTAAAAGATAAAAGTGGAGTGGCCTGAATAGGTGCTATTCTTTCAATTAAAAAAAATAAAATCTTGGGACAAGGTGTTTAAGCAGTAGGAGATCCCTGCTTTGGTGTTACCATTGTGTTTCTCAAGGATTTCTGTAAACCCTTCTAGATCTGTGAAGTGAGGCATGAATCCTGGAATTCTTACATGTTTGTGCTGTTTACTCCACTCCATGGTGAAATGCCATTTTGTGACAAAACTGCTCTTTGTTGCTGACACTAGGCTTGTGCTTACTATAGAATGTATTTCAATGGACTCTAGCTCGTGTAAATGCAACAATTTTGTGGCAAAAGGAAGGCATCATGAGGAATCCCTCCATCAAAAATACCATTCTCACCAGTAGTATGAAAACCTAAAATTGTGAATCTGTGATAATATCATAGTTGACAAAAGGTCCTTTCACTCTTGTGGTGTACACAAGTAAGCTAATATATTAAAACAAATCAGATTGGGAGAAATTGAAACAGAATTGACATTGCTTTAGTATCTCTATAAGTTTCTCTCAAAAAGGAGAGGTAGATTTCTGTTGTCTGGCCATACATTGGTACGATTAGGTCCCATTAGTTGTTGCAGTCTACCAGATAGCAATTTTGACACTTTTTGTTTCAGGATATTGTTTTATCTTTCTGCGCTTTACTTAACCCAACACAGCTGTCTTTACTTGCACAGCAAACCAAAACCCATTGTGCTGGAGATAATTTATACGGAATTTTCGTTTGTATTTACTTTTATTTTCAAATCCCATTTTCTCTTCTAATTCATCCCAAAGCAAAATCTGCCTAGATGAACGTTATATCCATCATTTCTGTGGCAGCAGTTATGCAAATAAAAAATGCAGAATCCATGTTGAAGCAGAAAGCCTGTGTTTTTTCTGGATGGGAAAAAAAACCCTGTTTTTATTTTAAACATACATTCTAAATACAGTTTTTATATGACATTGGAAGTTTTATTTGATAATAAAGAATTTCTCCAAAGATAGCTTAAGTTAGATTTTAAATTTTTGTCTTATGGAACATACCAAACCTCAACTCAGGAGGATTTTGGTTTTCTGATACAAGTATTATAATCAACTATTTATAACCTTTTTCTGAGAGAAAGCATGAATGCCTCGGTATCCCCTCTGAAACTTCATGACAGAGGAAAGGAAAACAACTACATAAGATGAAGTGCAAGAAGTAGATTGTTGCAGGAGCTCTTCTGTCCTTGGGCACAGGAAGCAAAATAGCTTAGCAATTGCATTCACATGAATTTGGACTCCTTAGAGCTAAGTGTCTGGATTTGGCCATGATGGCATCTCCATTTACTGGTGTGAAGCTGCTGACAGCATACAGAAACTTCACTTGAGCTTTAAGACTGGAAGAATGAAACACTTGTCAATGGTGGATCCTTTCCCTCTGCAAGAAATGAAATAGTGATAATTACTGCTCACCAAGCTACCTGTTTTATGTTCAAAGGAAATATTTTCATTTGGTAACTTTGTCTCCCATAAAAATGGTTCTTTGATTCTCGGAAATAGAGGGTCTGTTTACCTCCTGGGATACATAATGCTACAGGAGAGTCCAGAAAAGATTGTTTTGCTATCATTTTCTCTCAAAATCAAGAGATAAATTTCTGTTCTTCTCTGCTTCAAAATGCAAAAGAGAGATGTAGCTGAGAACCAAAAGTAGGAAATTGTTGGAAAAACAAAAGTAGGGGTCAGTAAGCAACTTCACTGGGGCCACTAACGTAGTAAACTTTTAAGTATATGTACAAATCTCAGCAGGTTCATAATTTCATACTATAAATTTATATAGGTGTTGACATTTATATGGTACTTTTTAAGACTGTAGTAAATTACTTTTGTCTATAGAGTTTTAGTGCTGCTGTTTTTCTTCATTTGTAGTTCGAAAATTTAAGACCGTCATTCTCCTGCTTTGAGTATAATGGATCAAATTAAAATAGTGGAAATAGTAGGTGAAGAATTGAGACTTTTAAATGCTGATCTTACGATATTATTTTCAAAGAGTCAGCACTAATAATATGTCTACAATCAGTCTGTCTAGCTTCCAACTTCAGCACTACACATCTAAGCTAAGTATATCAGCCTGAATCTAAAGGAAAAATTACCCTAAGTGGTGTTACAAAATTAAAGCAGTATATTTTTTCAAGATCTTTTTATTTCTTTCAGCTTTTTCATTAGTGTTCTTTTCTGGTTCTTCTCAAATTTCAGTGTTTGATGAAATATAAACACAAAAAGGCATACTAAAAACAAAAGAATTTTCAAGAAGCTGGCTTTTGTATTTTATGAGCAGTACATGCTGTTTGTTGGAAAAATATAAAATGGTAGACTTGGTCTATAAATTGGTAGATTAGTATCTTGTGTGTAGTTTATCATAGCGTTTTTTCAGCAGTGCAGTAATGACTTGCTTTCTATAGACTGCTTTCTTAGTTTCCATTTTCTTTTTATACTCTCTCAAAAATGCAGATAGCAGTTAGTATAATCAAAGATAAACACATAATGTTGTCTAAGACTTCAGTTTGTCTTCTGTAACTAAATAACCTACTTTACCTTTTCTATGTTATCTAATGCTTAAATATGTAATTTCAATGTTTCTATTTTTGATTTTTTGGGCATTGTATAGATGAAGCTACACTATGCCAGTATGTGTAATAAAAGCACAAACGCACCAACATCTATCTCTGCAAAGAGCTTTATGTGCTCTCATTCCTTATGAAAATAATTTCAGTGATTTCAGTTGGATTTAGTCCAAATTGCTAAAGAAAAAGGGCATCATTAGTCATTTATTTCAAGTATAAAATGAAAATAATAAGACTTTTTGCGGGTAAATGTATACCAGTTTAGTGGTAGAAAATATATAATCAGAATAACAGAAAATCTACTGAGAAGAGAAAACAAACTGTTTAAGTGTTACTTTTTTGATTTCACAGGGATCTTATAAAGGAAATGGTGGTAAGCTTAGAAAATTGAAAAACACTAAAGAGCAGTAAACATTATCTTAAACCTCCTTGGTAAATAGCCAGTGCAATTGGCCTGTGAATGAACCTAGGGGGTAATGGGAAAATATTTAATGGGAATGTTTGACCAAAGCTGTGTCTGGCATTCCTTTCCATCATACCACACAAACCTTTTTTCACCTTTTCTTTCAAGTTTTCATGGGAAAACCTATTACTGTTTCAGAGCTGCTGGAGTGAAACCTTGCGGTTTACTAATGGACTAACAGTCTGATTAGTCTCTGTTGTTGTGGCTGGGTATAGAATATTAATTGGCTTCTCATTTCATGTAGTAGGTTTTTTATTTTGTGTGGTGGTTTGTTTTATTATTTACCCCCAGTTACAACCCATGGCTAAACTAGTGACAGTATCGTGTTCATGGCTGAATGCCATCCCACCATGTAGGCATTGGGACTTCTGTAGAACTCAAGCTTCTTGGGTTAATAGCAGTACTTTTTGAAGAAAAACTAAATAAATGTCAGAAGTGGTGCAGACCACGGGCTCCATCTCTGGCCAGTAGCAGTGTGCTGGCAGGAGGAGGTATGATCAGGGAAAATACACAATGGTGCTTCTCTGAGCATCCTGTTCTGCCTTAACTTAGAGATACCTTGATGCAGACAGAATTTTACAATTAATAGCACTGAGTGCATTTTTTTTTTTTCCCATGATTTTATCAAAGAGTGAAAGTACCCATGTGCAGGTAACTGTCAGTATCATTTACTTACTGCAGATTAGATGAAAACTCGGGTGTGAGAGCTCCTGCCTCTCCTGCTCTGGTAAGGAAGCTGATGCTCTGCATGCGGTACTTGGGCCGTGTTCTGACTCAGTGTCTACAGGTGTGATTGGGCATTATCAGGGTTTTTTACTGTAGCCATAGTTACGTGTGCTGAACTGTAGAGAATTCCTCTCTTTCTAACAAGAACCGAACTTTAAAAAATCCTGTTATGCACATGCAGCTTTTTCATAGATTTTCTGTTTCTCTTTCTTCTATCTTGACAGTATTATCTGTGAACCATTCTTTTGCTATCACCTCAAATATCCACAAGAAAGTGTTTGTATTAACCTTTCTCAATTTGAGCATTTGAAGCATATTTTGTGTGAAAGATTTATAATTGCGTGCAGAACGTTTCTTCACTCCATTTGGATGGATGAGGAGACTAAAACAGATGTCAGGAAATGTAGCTGCCAGAAGAGGGGTAGAAAGTGTGTGCACAGAACCTCAGAGGCCGTTTCTTGTTCTTCAGGTAGTATGACAGGAATGAAGACCCATAGCTGCTTTGGGATGAGACCTCATCTTTTGGGATGTCTGTAACTGCAACTCTTTTTCTGGAGTAGAAGGAAGATTTCATTGTCAGATGCAAGTCAGGGAGGGTTTATTCAAAATTCTTGGTTTGGTTATGCAAGTATGAGATCTTCGTGGGAACCAGTTATAAATACCTAGTGTATGGGAAATGGAGTTGGGTACACAACATTTCCCCCAATGTCAGTTTAATTTAAAATAGCTGTGGATAGCCACTTGAATCACTCTCACATGCCTGTCATTCACTTGGCTAGTTCAAACAGATCACCCAGTAGTTATCCTTATTACAGACAAGATTGATTTTGGCAGCAGTAAAGCAGTCATTTTCCCCATATGGAAAGGAGTAGTACACCCCGTTACTGTCAAGCAAGAGTGGGCACTGAAAAAGAAAAAAAAAAAAAAAAAGAAAAGTTGCACAATTGTAGAAATTGCTAATTTTAAATGAAAATGTAAATAATTATTAAATTTAAATATGAGCCAAGGTGATGAGATTGTGTACATTATAAAATGAGATACGCAAGTTTTTAAAATATACT